GAAATAAGCTCAGCATTGGCCACCCTCTCTAGACACCTGTAACATCGAAGAGGAATAACTTAAAAGAAGCAACAGAAATTTAAAAGAAGCTGTGCATTTGCTACTTTGTTTACAAGCATGTAACACACACTAAATTTAGTACAATTTATTAATAGGTTTACTGTTTCCTGAAAGAACATTATCTATCTCCTGACACATCCTTTGTTTTTTTCAACTTTCCTCTGTAAAATAATCTTTCTTGTTTGTTCAACTTCTGCCAGAGTCTCCAAGGATCTTTGTTTACGTTCACACAGAAACATAATCTTATTTTTATTTTAAACTATCCCAATAATAATTGGGACAAAATATTTTAAAAGCTGGCAAAGAGACCTTGCCAATTTTATATGGCAAGGGAAGAAAGCCAGAATAAAATCAAATAATGATGGGGCCAAAAGAAACGGGGGCGTTTGCAGTCCCAGATTTAAGAAGATATTTTGAAGCAGCATGCTGGAGTTGGATGAAAGAGTGGATGTTACTAAAAGATACTGAAGTTTTGGAACTAGAAGGCTGGGACAAAATATACGGTTGGCATGGATATTTATTCTATGGGAAAATGCAATTGCATAAAGGATTTACGAACCGCCTTGTGAGAAAGGCCCTATTTGAGGTATGGGAGAGAACAAAAGAGAGAATTATAGAAAGAACTCCAAGGTGGACCTCTCCAATAGAGGCAACCTCGACATTAAAAAAAAAAAATGCCTGGCCAATTTATAGAGATTTAGCAGAAGGAATGAATGAAAATACAGTGGTACATCAGGTTAAGTACTTAATTCATTCCGGAGGTAATAATAATAATAATAATTAATAATAATAATAATAATATCTTTATTGTCATTGCCCCCTCTCGGGGACAACGAAATTACTTGGCTGCTCCATCCACCCAGGTCCGTACTTAACCTGAAACTGTTCTTGACCTGAAGCACCACTTTAGCTAATGGGGCCTCCTGCTGCTGCCACACTGCCGGAGCACGATTTCTGTTCTCATCCTGAAGCAAAGTTCCTAACCTGAAGCACTATTTCTGGGTTAGCGGAGTCTGTAACCTAAAGCGTATGTAACCTGAAGCGTATGTAACCCGAAGTACCACTGTATCAAATTAAAAGAATACGAAGAACTCAAAATACTGGGAATAAATTGGTTAGAATATTTCCAACTTAAGGCTACATACAAGAAAGATATAAAAACTAGGGGATTTGGGAAATAAAATATCAAAATTAGAAAGAGAGGCTTTACAAAATAATCAAAAAAACTCTCCAAAATATATAGATTATTAGATAAAGTCCTCCCAGATCAAGAAGTCAAAGGAGAGAATATTCTAAAGTGGGAACGGGATTTAGGATATACAATTGATTCTGAAGATTGGAAAAAGTTTTGGGGAAAAAATATGAATTTTACAGCTTAGTATTCATTAAGAGATAATTATATGAAGATGCACCACAGATGGTATATGGCACCAGACAGACTGGCAAAAACGAATAGATCAAATAGTAATAAATGCTGGAGATGTAATAGAATGAAAGGCACTCTATAGCAAATGTGGTGGACATGTCCAGAGATCAGAAAATTTTGGGAGATGATCCATGAAGAGATTAAAAAATTGATAAAAGTATCATATATCAGGAGGGCAGAAGCATATTTACTAGGAATCTTGAGTAAGCATATCCCCAAAGACAAAATTAACATCTTTCTGTATGCAACAACAGCAGCGAAAATGTTGGTAGCCAGTCATTGGAAAGGAAATTATATCCCAACAAAAGGGGACTAGTTAAGTAAACTATGTGAGTACCTGGAGTTAGCAAAATTGACGGATTTAATGAGGCATAAATCCAAAACTATAATACAGAAACAATGGGAATGCTTACATGAATATTGATACAAGCAGGGCTCAAATGTGAAAGTTTGGCTGCGCTTAGACTAACCTTGTGAAGAATACAGAGAACATAAAGATTTGACGGATTATGAAAGAACCTAAGGAAGGGAAATGATTGAAGAACAGATGTAAAGGCGAGCAAGATAACCAAGAGACGTGTGGTGAATGCGGTGGAAGTTTTAAAAAAATATTTTAACTAGGATTTATATATTGTAATGCTTGAAGGAGTCAAAATTGAAGGAGTGAAGCAGTTAGCAATTAAAGCTAAAGAGCTAGCCCAGGAAAATGAAAAAAATTAACTACACTATCTAAACAGGGGGCAGAATTGCCGGACCCCCAGAGAACAGCTAATATGATTTTGGGAGGAATTCCGGAAGAAATACAGGCTAAAGAGTTGGAAGAAACTTTGAGAACCTGGCTATGCTCCAACTCCATCGTTCTGCCTGGACACTGAGGTCCAGCGCCAAGGGCCTTCTGGCGGTTCCCTTGGTATGAGAAGCCAAGTAACAGGGAACCAGGCAGAGGGCCTTCTCGGTAGTGGCACCCACCCTGTGGAACGCCCTCCCATCAGATGTCAAAGAGAAAAATAACTACCAAACTTTTAGAAGACATCTGAAGGCAGCCCTGTTTAGGGAAGCTCTTAATGTTTAATAGGTTATTGTATTTTAGTGTTTTGCTGGAAGCCGCTCAGAGTGGCTGTGGAAACCCAGCCAGATGGGCGGAGTATAAATAATAAATAATAATTATTATTATTATTATTGTTAGTAGTAGTAGTAGTAGTAGTACTCAAGGAGTTAGTCTGAAGGCAGAAGATGTGGAACGAGCCCATTGCTGCCGAGGGCCTAAGGGGAGAAAATCCCCCAGGAATGTAATAGTTACATTTTCTAGAGAGAAGCTGCAACAGCAGGTATACCAGACTTTGAAGGAAATTAAAGAGTTGAGTTTCCAAGGGAAAAGAGTGTGGGTGAGTCGAGATGTATGCCTGGCTACTTTAAGGCAAGAAAGCCCAATGAAACCTTATGCACAAAAACTGCATAATAACGACAAAAGGTTTTACAGCCGAATTTTATAAGGAAATGGTAGAAATTTTGGGCCCAGAACTACAACAACTTTTTAACAGTATACTAGAAGGGGAAACGGCCCCAGAAACATGAGATGAGAAAACAGCAAATGGAACAATGGTTCATAACTCCAGCCCAGCTTGCTAATATGGTAGCAGGATTGAATTCTAGTTGTTGGCACTGTAAACAAGTCAAGGGATGGTTTTCCCATATGTACTGGGAATTCCCAGAGGTAAAGGAATTCTGGGGAAAAGTCCTAAAGGTTATTAAGGAATTTTTTTAATGAAGATTTCAATAGATTTTGATTTCATGACAATGGGTATACTTGGAAACATGGTGTAAGGGAACTGCCATCAGTGCCGGAGGGAGAGAGCAAGCTCCAGAGGGATCCCAGAGAGCGTCCCGGGATTGGGCGAGGCAGCCCATCTTCTGGGGAAGGGAATCAGCTTAGCTCCAGTGGAGAAGGGGGGCAGATGGGGGAATCTGAGAGGGGGTCACATGACTCCTTGCCGGGGACCAGCGGGGGGAGAAAGGGTCCTCCGCTGCCTACGCCCTCCTTGCGCAGAAGGCTTCCGCGCAGGGAGAGGAGGAGGAGACTGGGCGTGAAAGAACTTCTTTGTTGGAATAAGTTTAAGAAATGCCCACTGACAGATTATGCCAGCGATTGAGACAGCGACGGGTGAGTGGCTGTCTGAACAGGAAAGGTTCACTTAGGCAACCCAGCCAGGTGTTGGCACTGGCTTACGCACGAGCAACCCCTAGAACCATTGCACATGGCAATAGAGGAAGGTGACCAGTTTACCTTCAAAGCTATGATATTAGCGGGAAAGGCAACGATAGCTTTAGGTTGGAAAGAGAGAGAAAAATGGACAGTAGAGGCATGGAATAGTTATTTGTTTGAAACTTATTCAGTCGGACATGGTCGCAGTCATGTCACAGGAAACAACGTGGAAGGTCAAGTCCACCATGATAAGGAACAGATGGAACCCCTATCTTGATTGGATAAAAACTACTGGAACAAAAGACATTTGGTGGAAACCAAAAACGCTATGCCCGTGGCTGAGGGTAATTGTTTGAACCCTTCCAATGGGTATGGGGGGGGGGAGGGAGGGAAATTTAAAAATTGCATGGGAAATTTAAGAATTGTAAGAAGATAATATATGTATGTAAAATATCCAGAACTCGAATAAAATAAAATAAATTTTTAAAAAAGAAAGTAATGCAAAACAGATTAATCAATTCCAGACTTTTAAAAACAACTAAAACAGCAATTTAACATGAATTTTACTATCTAACAAGACCACTGATCCATAAAATGAAAGGAATAATCAATGTACTGTACTACAAAATAAAGAAAACAGTACTGTAGATTAAAATTACCCTATTTTTGCACCTTAACACTCACTTTTTCCCTCCTAGAAAGTAAGGGGAAATGTCTGTGCGTGTTATGGAGGGAATGCCTATGGGTGGCATGCCTACGGATTTTCCTCCTCTAAAAAACTACGTTCGTGTTATGGTCGGGTGCGTGTTTATAGAGCGAAAAATACGGTATTTATTTTTCTTACCTGCACTGATGATAGACATTGTTTGGATGGGGGATTTTATACATTGCCACAGTCACACACTCAATCAAAAATGAAGAACAAGCCACAGTCACACACAAAAAGCCAAATAAAAACGCAATTTCTTTTAGCAAAAACAAAAGCACCAGATATAAGCTCCAAAATCAGCCCTGAGTGCTCACTGGAAGGACAGATCGTGAAGCTGAGGCTCCAATACTTTGGCCACCTCATGAGAAGAGAAGACTTCCTGGAAAAGACCCTGATGCTGGGAAAGATGGAGGGCACAAGGAGAAGGGGACGACAGAGGATGAGATGGTTGGATAGTGTTCTCGAAGCTACCAGCATGAGTTTGACCAAACTGCGGGAGGCAGTGGAAGATAGGAGTGCCTGGCATGCTCTGTTCCATGGGGTCACGAAGAGTCGGACACAAATAAACGACAAAACAACAACAATCACCTGAGAACACTGCAATCAGAAATGGAAGGCTTTGATTACAATGGAGGGGTGCAAATTAGCAGCGCAACAGTGAAAACAGAAGAAAGCTTTGATTACAATGCAGGGGAACACAAATTAGCAGCGCAACAGTGAAAACAGAAGCTCAGGAGCACGTTCGGCTTCCGAAGCAAAGTTCACAAGCTGGAACACTGACTTCCAGGTTTGCAGCATTTGAGTTCAAAGTTGTTCAGAAACTAAGCTGTTTGAAAACCACCGTATACAGATATGGTTGCCATATGTCCAGAATTGTAAGCAGCGTCTGGGCGGAAATTGCTGAAATGTCCGGGAAACTCTGGACTTATGACAGCCCATGTCGCAAGTGTAGATTTCGGCAAACTTCACTTGAAATAGATACCCCCCCACCCCCGTTCCTTCAAGCCCTCCTCATAAGGCTTGGTTTCAGACCCTTGGTGATCTTGATTGACTCCTCTGCATCATCTTCATGAAGTTTTCCCTTAGCATGTAGCTAGCTGCAAACCTTAAATTTACTTTCCACAGTTGTTCCCATAAAGCAAAGTCAGTGTTGTGTCCTACATCTCTGGCCCAGCTTCTCATTGATGATTTCATCATTGCATTCTTTGTGTCCCACTCAAATAATATGTTATACATTTTAGATACTATTTTAACCCTTGGAGCTTAATAACTCCCTTTCAAACTGTGAGTTTTGTTCTGCAAATCCGTTTTTAAAAATCTGACTTAAATGTTACATTCAACTGATGGTAAATTGACCAGTCTCCCTCCCACCTAGAGGAAGAAGTTCCCTTTATAGGGACCCCACATACAATGAAGCAATAACACACGGCCCTAAAACTATCCTCCCAATACGTCGAACTTAGCGGGTAAACTATTCGGTCTGCTGTGTCAAAGTTTTACTGGACGTTTGGACAATATTGGCGAGAGCGCCTGTAATCTCACAGTCACCACTTCCCCTGGAATAAGAATCACTTCTGTTCAAACCAGTAAGTATGTCTGTAATTATGACAATCTGACCAATTCCTAGATGACTTAAGCCCTATATCGGACTCCTCTACATGGGTTTCCCCCGAATATAGAGCATGGTCCAATCCCCTGGACATTCTCAGACTTACAGAAGTCCTTCTCAAGGTCTTGAAGGAATCTGAAGAGGTGATTCAAGCAACACAAAAGGAGATTCCTCCTAAAGACCAGGAAGAACTTTCTGATAGTAAGAGCCAGCAGTGAAAAGAAACTCCCTGGCACTCTGACTGAAACTCTTTCCACATTCCAAACACTAAAAGGTTTTCTCTCTTGTATGAATTATTTGATGGGAAGCGAGACTGTGGCTTTGACTGAAGCTCTTCCCACAATCGAAGCACTGATATGGTTTCTCCCCTGTATGAATTCTTTGATGGGAAGTGAAATGTGATCTGTGACTGAAGCTCTTCCCACATTCGAAGCACAGATAGGGTTTCTCCCCTGTATGGATTCTTTGATGGGAAGTGAGACTTTGGCTGTGACTGAAGCTCTTTCCACATTGCAAGCACTGAAAGGGTTTCTGCCCAGTATGGATTCTTTGATGGGAAGTGAGATGATGTCTGTGACTGAAGCTCTTTCCACATTGCAAGCACTGAAAGGGTTTCTGCCCTGTATGGATTCTTTGATGGGAAGTGAGACTTTGGCTGTGACTGAAGCTCTTTCTGCATTCCAAGCACTGAAAGGGTTTCTCCCCTGTATGAATTCTTTGATGGGAAGTGAGATGTTGTTTGTGACTGAAGCTCTTTCCACAATCTAAGCACTGATATGGTTTCTCCTCTGTATGGATTCTTTTATGGATTATGAGATGGGGGCATTGACTGAAGCTCTTCCCACATTCCAAGCACTGATATGGTTTCTCCCCTGTATGGATTCTTTTATGGATTATGAGATGGGGGCTTTGACTGAAACTCTTCCCACATTCGAAGCACTGATAGGGTTTCTCCCCTGTATGGATTCTTTGATGCAAAGTGAGACTGCTGCTTTCACTGAAGCTCTTTCCACATTCCAAGCACTGATGTGGTTTCTCTCCTGTATGAACTTTTTGATGGGAATAGAGACTCCGACTGTGGATGAAGCTCTTGCCACATTCCAAGCACTGATAGGATTTTTCCCCTGTATGAATTCTTTGATGCAAAGTGAGAGTGTCCTTTCGACTGAAGCTCTTTCCACATTCCAAGCACTGAAAGGGTTTCTCTCCTTTATGAAGTTTTTGATGGGAAGCGAGACTGCTCCTCTGACTGAAGCTCTTCCCACATTCCAAGCACTGATAGGGTTTCTCCCCAGTATGAATTCTTTGATGGGAAGTGAGATGTTGTCTGTGAATGAAGCTCTTCCCACATTCTAAGCACTGATAGGATTTCTCCCCTGTATGTATTCTTTGATGCAAGGTGAGACTGTCCTTTCGACTGAAGCTCTTCCCACATTCCAAGCACTGATAGGGTTTTCCCCCTGTATGAATTCTTTGATGGGAAGTGAGACTATGGCTGTGACGGAAGCTCTTCCCACATTCGAAGCACTGATATGGTTTCTTCCCTGTATGAATTCTTTGATGGGAAGTGAGACTCTGCCTGTGACTGAAGCTTTTTCCACATTCCATGCACTGAAAGGATTTCTCCCCTGAATGAATTCTTTGATGGGAAGTGAGATTTGAGTTGCAACTGAAGCTCTTCCCACATTCCAGGCACAGAAAAGGTTTCTCCCCTGTATGAATTCTTTGATGGGAAGTGAGACTCTGCCTGTGACTGAAGCTCTTTTCACATTCCAGGCACTGATAGGGTTTCTCCCCTGTATGAATTCTTTGATGGGAAGTGAGTTGTGAGCTTTGATTAAAGGTCTTTCCACATTCTAAGCACTGATAGGGTTTCTCCTCTGTATGAATTCTTTTGTGGGTAGTGAGAACCCCCTTCTGACGAAACCTCTTTCCACATTCCAAGCACTGATAGGGTTTCTCCCCTGTATGAATTCTTTGATGGCAAGTGAGATGTATGCTTTGATTAAAGCTCATTCCACATTCTAAGCAGTGATACAATTTCTCTCCTCTGTGAATTCTTTCATGTGAAGTGAGGCTATCCCTCCGAATGAAGCTCTTTCGTTGATGGGAGTTGGACGGGGAGCTCTGGCCGATGTTCTCTCCATACTCTGAATATTTATTTGATTTCTCCGATGTGTGGATTCTCTTGTGGTCCCCCTTGTTCTTCCCTTGCCATTCATCACCATCTGCAATGAAGAGAGAAGATAATTATCGCCTCAGGAAGAAATGGAGCTCCAGATTATTGAACAGAGTTCCCCGCCCCCCCAACTCACTAAGAGACTTGAGAGTGCTCCGTTTCAGCCTCAAGAGGACAGCCCTGAAGTATAAATTAACAGCATTGTAAATGTGTGGCATCTTCAATCCCCCAACATTTGAGCATGCCTGAGGGGTGCCAGACTCTCTTGAAACCAATGGGCCACACTGCCAGCATACTGTGACTGGGGCGCAGATGACACAGAACCATCAAACCCACCACCTGACCCCTCCCCCATCAATGCACTGCCATGTTAGGGTAAGTCGTGCTAACTCTGCATCGCTGCCCCGGACCCCAACCCCACTCAGAGCGAAGGGGACGTGGTTCACATCCATTACTGAACAAAGTTAATGAATGCTTGTGATAAAGGAAGGACTGAAGTTAGATGTGAGGCCTTACAATAGTTTTCACTGCCTTTGTTGGCTGATATTAACTGACATATTGCTTGGCTTTTATTTGGGATAGATTTGATTTGGCTCAATCCTGGAATCCACCCCATATGCAAGGTCAGTCATCTCTGGTGGAACACTCTGTCACAAGAGACCAGGGCCCTGCGGGACTTGACATCTTTCCGCAGGGCCTACAAGACAGAGCTGTTCCACCAGGCCTTTGGCCAGGGCACAACCTGACTCCCTCCCTCGGCAATCTCCACTCATTTTCATGAGGAGACCAACTCTGTATAGTTTAATTGGTAACAGAAGATGGAAAATGACTATTACTCACACTTAATCTAAGCCCAACAGCCACAAGAGATTCTGACTAGGAATTCGGCTATGCGATGTTGAATGTTCTCTGTTCTCCGCTGTTTACCCTTTTTTGTTTCAATTTATACCAATTCATGAACCCAGAACTCATACACTGATCACCAACGAGGAACGACATGTTATTCCTGCAAATTTATTTAGTCTACATATTTGTATCATATATTAGTCTTATATGATCCTTGTTTTTAAAAGAAAATGAAAAGTTATTCCTAAAAGGAAAGAAAAAGGCAAAACACACAGGCCCCATCGGCAATCAGTCCTGAAATTAGGATCAGGTAATTTAAAGAATCATGGCTTCTAGTGCTGCGCAATGGATCAGTGAGTTCTCTGACATTGGTAGGGCATTCAGAGCACAGTTCTGGCGCCAATACATCGTGGTGGCCGGGGAGCTGTGACGTATTCCTGGCTCAAATTGCCTGCAGATCATCTGTTCCTGCTATTTTGGGGACACAAGAGGAAGAAACTGAGCAAACTTTGCTGGAAAGTATGGCTGCAGGAGGATCCGCCTCAGTATTAGATAAAATTTTTGAAAAATTGGAAAGTTTGGATAAAAAAGCGTATGAGCAATCAGCTAAGATTGACCAAAATACAGCCAGTGTTAATAAATTAACTGAACAAGTTGCTCTGAATGCACAATCAATTGGGAAACTATTTGAAGTCACCACAGAAAATCGTAAACTGGCTGTGGAAGCTAACCAAAAAGCTGAAGCATTAAAGGAGGAGGTTAAACCATTGCATAAGCAGATTGGTGAACAGCAGGCTTATCTGTCTATGATAGAACTAAGTAGTAGGGAAAACAATCTGAGACTGAGGTCAATCTTAGAACTTGAACAAGGGGACTTAACTGAGTACCTGACAAAAGAATTTTCCAAGTTTTGGCCTTTGGAAGAAGATAAGGACTTTAAAATTGTGAGTGCCTTCAGACTTGGAAAAGTAGCAAGGAAGGACAGGCCCAGAGACTGTTTGATTACTTTGAGATCCAAGGAGGAAAGAGATAAAATATTGAGTGCACACTACCAAAAGTCACTTGAAATTCAAGATAGGAGAGCAGAAATTTACAAAGATATCCCGAAACAACTTTTGGATCTCAGATCCACCTATACAGAGTTAGCAAAACTGCTGAGGAGTAATTCAATTGCTTTCAGGTGGGAATTTCCCCAAGGACTATCTTTTACATTTAGAGGGAAGAAAGTGAAAATCAAAACAGCCGAGGACAAAGAAAAGTTTCTGAGTGACTACGGAGAAGACCTTCAGAAAGGGATTGCAGGAATTCCAGGGTCTGGGCCATTGCCTGTACCCACACCTTTGGGGCCTGAAGACCAGAAGAAAGAGACGCCACCACCAAAGGAATAACAGATCTGTCCAGGATGTCTCTGCAGCTCTTTAGCTGGAATATTAATGGCTGTAACTCCCCGGAAAAAAGGAGAAGGATATTTCACTTATTAAAGAAAGAACAATTGGACATTATTTGCTTGCAGGAAACACATGTGACTAGGCTCCACAGAAAAGTGTTAATTAATAAGAGACTAGGCCAAGAATTTATTTCATCGGACCGAGTTAAGAAAAGAGGAGTGGTGATATACGCAAAGGAGAGCCTATCACCAAAATTCCTATTTAAAGATGAGCAAGGAAGAATTTTGGCAATTGAGATACAAACTCAAGGCGAAAAGTTTTTGATATTGGGAATTTATGCACCGAACGAGGGGAAATCGGAATTTTATAAGAAACTGCACGAGACAATGCTGGACTATCTGGACTATAGCAACATCATTATGATGGGGGATATGAATGGGGTGGTATCTACAAACATGGATAAGTCACAAAGCCAAAGGGTGACAAAAGATGGCAGACTACCCAAAACCTTTTTTGAACTAACCGACAATATGGACTTGATTGACATCTGGAGGACAAAGAACCCCCTAGGAAGAGAAGGAACATTCTTTTCTGAAGCCCAACTGACATGGACGAGAATCGACCAAATATGGATAACTAGAGGACTGGCTCCTAAGACCAGAAAGTGGAAATCTGCCCAAAAACCTGCTCCGACCATAACACAATAAAGATGGATATGAGACTAACTCCAACCGGCTCCTTTAGATGGAAGATGAATGACACTTTGTTAAGAGACCAGGAGATTATCCAGAAGGCCCAAAAGACTTTGAAGGACTATTTTGAAATAAATTTGAACACCACAGTGGAAAAAAGAGTAATCTGGGACGCAAGCAAAGCTGTTATGAGGGGGTTTCTGATACAACAGAATACGATAAAGAAAAGAGCACAGAATGAGAAAAAGGACAAGATTTTGGAGAAAATAAAGGAATGCGAGAAAAAGCTAAGATCGAAACCAAAGTCACAGGAGATTCTGAGAGAAATTAAACTTTATCAAGCACAATATTCCAAATTGATAAACCAGGAAGTTGAGTGGAAAATTAAGTTAATGAAACAAAGGACATTTGAATCGGCAAACAAATGTGGGAAACTGCTAGCATGGCAGTTGAAAAAGAGACAAAAATTGAACACGGTTACTAACCTAGAGATTGAAGGGAGAAACATTCAGAACCCTGTGGAAATTAGAAAATGCTTCCAGAGATACTTCAAACAACTTTACATGCAAGGGCCGCAAAAAGAGACTGAGATAGACCAATTTTTAAGAAGAAATGGATTACCAAAACTGTCTCAAGAAAATAGGACAATTTTGAATTATAAAATAACACAACAAGAAATTGAAGGTGCCATTCAGAATATGCAACTGGGCAAGTCTCCAGGGCCAGATGGGCTTACCTCCAAGTATTATAAGACACTGAAAGATTATCTGACACAACCATTAATGGAGGTTTGCAATGAGATTATGGAGGGGAAGAAGGCACCGGAATCGTGGAAAGAAGCTTTCATCACATTGATACCCAAATCGGAAACTGAAAACACACAACTTAAGAACTACCGTCCCATCTATCTCTTAAATGTGGATTACAAAATTTTTGCAAACATTTTGGCAAATAGATTTAAAAGAGTGCTAAATGAAGTGATTCACAAAGATCAGGCAGGTTTTCTCCCAGGTAGACATTTGTTTGACAATACTAGGAACATCATTGATATCTTGGAACTTTTGCAAACGAACATTAATACAAAAGCAGTGTTGATTTTTATAGATGCGGAGAAGGCCTTTGATAATATCTCATGGAAGTTTATGAAGAAAAATCTTGAAGGGATGGGAGTGGGACGGGGGTTTGAGAATGGTATAGACGCAATTTACTCAGAACAATTTACTCAGGAAAGAGGGGGGTTTGCCCTGCCAGACTTAAGGCTGTATTATGAGTCAGCAGCTTTCTGCTGGCTGAAAGATTGGCTGCTTCTTGAAAACACTGATGTTTTGGATCTGGAAGGGTTTAACAATGCCTTTGGATGGCATGCATATTTGTGGTACGACAAGGTAATAGTCCATAAGGCTTTCAAGAACCATATTGTCAGGAAAGCAATACTTAATGTCTGGATAAAATACAAAGACTTATTAGAAAACAAGACCCCAAGGTGGTTGTCACCAATGGAAGCTAAGGCTCGGAAAAGACTCAGTATGGAGGCCAAATGGCCGAAATATTGGGAAATATTAGAAAAAGTTGGAGATACTTGGAGATTGCAGAGTTTTGAGAAATTAAAGGATAAAGTGCGAGATTGGTTACACTATGCTCAGATCAGGGAGGTTTTTAACTTGGATAAAAAAACAGGTTTCCAGGTGGAAAAATCGAAACTAGAAACAGAACTGTTAGAACCTAAGACTAAGGTACTTTCAAAAATGTACAACTTGCTGTTAAAATGGAACACTCAAGATGAAACGGTTAAATCAGCCATGATAAAATGGGCACAGGACATTGGGTACAATATTATGTTTGCTGACTGGGAAAGGTTATGGACCACCGGGGTGAGGTTCACGGCATGTAATGCCTTGAAAGAAAATATTATGAAAATGATCTATAGGTGGTACATGACCCCAGTCAAGCTTGCAAAAATATATCATTTGCCTGACAATAAATGTTGGAAATGTAAGGGAACTGAAGGAACATTCTTTCACCTCTGGTGGACTTGCCCAAGGGTTAAGGCTTTCTGGGAAATGATCTATAACGAGTTGAAAAAGGTATTTAAGTATACCTTCCCTAAGAAACCAGAGGCCTTCCTTTTGGGCATGGTTGGCCAGAGGGTGTTAAAGAAGGACTGAACTTTTTTATGTATGCAACAACAGCAGCAAGAATACTTATCGCAAAACATTGGAAGACCCAAGATTTGCCCACGCTGGAAGAATGGCAGACGCAACTGATAGACTACCGTATTTTTCGCACCATAGGGCGCACCGGACCATAGGGCACACCCAGTTTTTAGGGGGGGAAATCAAGAAAAAAATCTTTCCCCCCCCCAGCCCCAAAGAGCAGCCGGAGGGGTTGCGCGCAGCTATGGAAGAAGGCAAGGCAGCGAGCGGGATGGATCCCGCTCGCTGTTTTGCCTTCCCCTTTAGCCCCGCGCAGCCTCTCCTTGCGGAGGGGTTGCGTGCAGCTATGGAAGAAGGCAAGGCAGCGAGCGGGGTGGATCCCGCTCGCTGTTTTGCCTTCCCCTTTAGCCCCGCGCAGCCTCTCCTTGCCGGGAGACGCTGCACAGGGCTTTCCTGGCTCCTCTGGGAGGTGGGGGAATTCCCCCACCTCCCGCAAAACCAGCAGAAGCCGCACGCACTTTAAAAGGGCTGCACGGCTTCTCCTGGCTTTCCTGGGAGGTGGGTGGATTCCCTCACCTCTCGCAAAAGCCCACAGAAGCCGTGAGCTCTTTAAAGGGGCTGCGCAGCTTCTCCTGGCTTTTCTGGGAGGTGGGGGAATTCCCCCACCTCCCGCAAAACCGGCAGAAGCCGCGCGCACTTTAACAGGGCTGCACGGCTTCTCCTGGCTTTCCTGGGAGGTGGGGGGATTCCCTCACCTCTCGCAAAAGCCCGCAGAAGCCGCGCGCACTTTAACAGGGCTGCGCGGCTTCTCCTGGCTTTCCTGGGAGGTGGGGGGATTCCCTCACCTCTCGCAAAAGCCCGCAGAAGCCGTGAGCTCTTTAAAGGGGCTGCGCGGCTTCTCCTGGCATTTCTGGGAGGTGGGGGAATTCCCCCACCTCCCGCAAAACCGGCAGAAGCCGCGCGCACTTTAAAAGGGCTGCACGGCTTCTCCTGGCTTTCCTGGGAGGTGGGAGAAGGGTCTGATGCGGCCAGTCAGTCCCTTCTCCCTCCTGTGGAAAAGCCCGCAAGAGCGCACGGAGCTTGTGTGCGGCTCTTGGGGGCTTTTCCCGCCTGCCTCCCCCCCTGCATTCGCTCCATAGGACGCACACACATTTTCCCTTGCTTTTTAGGAGGGAAAAAGTGCGTCCTATGGTGCGAAAAATACGGTACATGGAATTGGCAGAAATGACTGGCAGAATTCGAGACCTGGGAGAAGAGACAGTGGAAGAGGACTGGAAAAAGTTTAAGGACTATCTACAAAAACATTATAAACTGTATGAATGTTAAGAAGATGCAGGATAGAAAACAACATGGCATCAGCAATTTAGTTGAAAGAAATATGAGAATAAGTGATGTTTAAGAAAAAGATGAAACTTGGAGTAACATTATGTTTAAATTAAGTATTTAAGTATTTGATAAAAATATCTAAAGTCGGAGACATAATATTTGAAAATCACAAAATAAGAATTGAAACAAGGTGATAAATTGCTGCTTATAATTTTATAATTGGGAATGCAGGAAAGGGATATGTGAGGAAGTCCAAAAGGTTATGGAAATATGACTTACGGACAGTTGATTTCATTGTATTTTTTCTATTCTATGTTTATCTTTTTGCTTCTTTCTGTTTTCTTCGTTTGTTGTATCTTAGTGATGGTGTTTTATATGTTTGGTGATTTTATTGTTTAAAACATTTAATAAATATCTTTTTTTTAAAAAACACAAATTGCCTGCAGATGTCAAAGGCGCTGGAAGGCAGGTGGAGGAGCCCAAAAAGGTGCTCACCTTTTCAATTTCCATCTGCCTGCCTGCCTCATCCCACCCCCAGCCCCATCCATCCATGTCCCCATCTCCCCTCCCCTGGGACTCACCAGATATCTCGGAGGTCCCTGGGAGGGAACGCACAGAGGCTGTGAGGAAGGATGCAGGAGACAACCTGACCAGGTCAACTGTCCATCTTCCCCCTTCCATCCTCGCTAGCTTTACAGATTCCTTCCCCACAACAAACACTCTGTGAGGTCAGTGGGGCTGAGATACTTCAGAGATGTGTGACTAGCCCAAGGTCACCCAGCAGCTGCATGTGGAGGAACGGGGAAGCGAACCCGGTTCACCAGATTAGGTGAATACCACTCTTAACCAGAACACGACACTGGCTCTTAGTTAAGGTAAAACTTTGGCTCATGCTAAAGAAGAGCATTATGGGAGAGCCAAACGCTGTAGAATTCTTGGAATGTGTATCTGCTTCTTTAATTGCAGACTTTCTGTCTCAAAGAGTGTGAATAAGTTATCTTCTCCATCTGCAGGAAGGAGGTTCCTAGCTGATTTGTAGTCTTGACACCTGGCTATCTTAGATGCCCTTTCTGTGTGAAAAAGGTTATGAAGCTTAATTTACAACTCAAAGAATCTGGTATGGCTTTGGGAATGCTTTTCATCTTCAAGGCCTTTTGATAAACAGGATTTGGCTGTCGAGGCTCCTAACAAGCCTGAGTTATTGTTCTTCTATCTAACCATTGGCGAGTTCCTAATTAATCTAAAGAACTGATTGGCTTTTGAGTTTTGAATCCACGTGGGTTCAAAGGGGATAAAACCTAAGGAAGCCAACTTGCAATTCCCTAACATACCTTGCCATAGTCAAAACAAAAAAAATTCCTTCCAGTAGCACCTTAAAGACCAACTAAGTTAGTTCTTGGTATGAGCTTTCGTGTGCATGCACACTTCTTCAGATATCATGTGCATGCACACGAAAGCTCATACCAAGAACTAACTTAGTTGGTCTTTAAGGTGCTACTAGAAGGAATTTTTTTTGTTTTGACTATGGCAGACCAACACGGCTACCTATCTGTAACTGATACCTTGCCATGTGAGACCATTGTCTTGCAAAGAGGACTTGCCCTGATGCCAGGGATGCGGAGAACAGTTCTGTTTCACACTTTCATTCTCGTTGTATGTTCTGTAGTTAGTGATACTGAAAAATGATTTTATTTTCTGTTTGGGATTTGTAAGAGATGTGCCAACTTTTATGTTTGAATCATCGTGGTTTTTTATTTACTTCTGGAAAAAGGACTTTTCCCTGTTTCTGCCTTTTATGCCTTTCTGCTGGGGAAGTTAAACCAGTACCTGACCACTTAGTCGCCTACCAGAGCCTGATGGATTTCTGTCTGTGCCACAGTAAAGTGACACAGTGTGGGGCAGCCCGGTAAATACCTCTCCATCTCCCCTCCCCTGGGACTCACCAGATCTCTCGGAGGTCCCTGGGAGGCAACGCTCAGAGGCTGTGAGGAGGGATGCAGGAGACAACCTGACCAGGTCAACTGTCCATCTTCCCCCTTCCATCCTTGCTAGCTTTACAAATTCAGACTCTTTCATCCTTCCTGAGGAGTCAAGAACCACCACAAGCTGCAGGGTCCTGGGAGAGAGGAAGAAACAAAGGGAGCTTCAGAGGCCCTGCAGGGATTTTCCTGCCCTAGATATTCCCCTGCTCCTGGAAAAGCACAAATGGGGCAGCCCCTTCCCGACAGAAACCCCATTTGAAACATCTCCAGCGATTCCCATTTAATCTGTTTGCACCTCACCCCACTTCGTAAGGCTGTCATGGTCTGCACACTAGTGACCTGAGAGTAGACCCCATTGAACTCAGTGGGGCTTATGGATAGAACTTGGTGCAAAAACCAGGCACCATCCTGTCCCCAAGCCTGAAAACCGCAACCCCAGAGCATGGGCAGAATACAGCCGAGTAGCTATTACATGTAGGTGCCCCCACGTCTCAGTGCAAGAGATGCCTTAGCAGTTGAGCTGGCTGGGCCCCAAACCTCTTTCTGCTCATCATTAGAGCTGCTGAGAGACCCTAGAAGGTTGGGAATAGGATCTGGCTCCTGCTGTTTCTTAGCCACCTCCTCATCTTCCTTATTCACGCAAAATGGAGTGATTTTTGGTTGTGCTTTCTTTAGAGAAGCTCTCTTTGGAGCAGGGCCCGTGGCACTCGGGGAGAGACCAGAAATTTTTTAACCCCTCCAGGTCAACACCATCTTTTCCCTTAATTCCGTATCATGTTTCCTTATACCATTTGTAGCAATTAAAGCTTTTATAACTTTAGTCTGCAGCAGCTTCTGTGTCATTCACTTAGTGTTCTGCAGAATGCGGAGGCTAGACTGGTGACTGGGAGTGGCTGCTGGAACCATGTAAGACCGCTCCTAAAGGAACTACAATGGTTCCCAGTATGTTTCCAAGCAGAATTTAAAGTGTTGATGCTGACCTTTAAAGCCCTAAACGGCCTCGGCCTTGTACACCCGAAGGAGCATCTCCACCCCCATCATTCAGCCTGAACACTGAGGTCCAGGACTGAGGGCCTTCTGGTGGTTCCCTCACTGCAAGAAGAGAAGTTACAGGGAAGCAGGCTGAGGGCCTTCTTGGTAGTGGCGCCCTCCCTGTGGAACACACTCCCATCAGATGTCAAGGAAATGAAAGAACCACACAACCTTTAGGAGACATCTGAAGGCAGCCCTGTATCGGGATGTTTTATTATGTTTTTATATGTGCTGGAAGCAGCCCTGAGTGTCTGGGGAAACCCAGTCAACTGGGTGGCAGATAAATATTATTATTATTATTATTCATACAGGATGTTGATGGCGTTGCAGCTTCACCCCAGTGTCTTGCCAGGGCAGGAGGGGCTTGGTCTTCCTAAAAATGTTGAGCTGAGCAAGGCTGGATGCAGCTCCTGCTCCCAAGAGTGGCACATGCCAGTCTGTGCACTTGCTCTGCTGGGAGGGGGCAGATGTTTAACAAGGCTGGAAACCAGATCTCACCCGGCCCTAGGGACTCCTCCCAAGAATCCTGGGAGCCAGAATTGGTTCAGGACCCTGAGAGGTGCAAGGAGACAGCTTCAGCCCTGCTGCCCAAAGACTGCAATTCCCAGAGTGGTCACCAATCCCCCCTTCTTGCCAGGGAACTCTGGGAATTGTATTTGGGTAGAGGGTGGGAGAGGGTCTCCCCTCCAGTCTCCACACTTGGGGGGGGGCTGTATCTCCCCACTCCACAGGGCTTCTCCTTCCTCCGATTCCTTGAATGCTTCTCTGTGTTATGAAATGTGACTTTCCCCTCAGTCTGAAGGGGGCTTATTTGCATGCCCTCTTTTTGTTGCCCCAAAGACCCCCCCCGAAAAGGAAGGCAGCATCTTGATCCAAAGGAAGAACAGAGTTACAGACCTGCTGGACACTCAGCCCCTCCCTGGCTTGGCAGAGAGGAATTGGGGGCAGGACCCTCTGCTCCCTGACTTGGGGGTCTTCCCTCCCCCCATGCATGAGCTGAACGGGGGGGCCTTGCCTCCTCCCTTGCAGCCCTGGGACCCCCTTCTCCCCGCTGCACCCCAAGGGGGAAGAGAGAAGAGACTCACCAGATTCCAGGAGGGGCACCGAGGAAGCTTTTGCAAAGCAGAGAGAACAAAGCAGCCTCCTCTTTGCTGGCAGGAAGGGACTGGGCAGGGAGGGGCTTCTGCTGGGGAGGACCTTGCCCCCCCCCACCGCCCTCCCCTTCCTGTCCTCTCTAGGAATCCCGCTCTGCTCCTTTTAACCCTTGGCAAGCCGAGGGCACCCAGACCGCCCTCTCCCTGCCTGCTTCTGCGCTCTAGGGCTGCCCTCCTTTCTCCATCTGGGCCAAGGACTCTGCATCAAGGCCCCCCCCATCTTAGGCTGACTGACGACAAGGGAGGTAGGGGTTCCCCGCTACCATTCTGCCGTGTGCATCTGGGTCCATACTTTAAAATGACTAAATGCTCAGAAGTGGGCACCCCTTGAGAAGGGGGGGGGGACGGACGCCAAGTGGGTAAAAAGGGTGAGCATCCATCTTTGGCAGATACTTTCCTTGCGACCCTTGCATTGCAGGGGTGGGGTGTGTGTTGGACTATGCAGAGCAAACCTGTGCAGATTTACTCAAAAGGAAGCCCCGGTGGGGAGAAAGATTGAATTGGTATCACACACAAAAACCCTTAAAAATGGGGCTCCTGTTGGGAAGGGGGAACCCCTTTGGGACTCTTCTAGGGGCAGCAGAATGTTTTGGGCAGCAGAATCCCTGCCGGGCCTCTGGGGCTCCCTTTGCTTCTTCCTCCCTCCCAGGAACCTGCATCTTCTGAGCTCCTCAGGAAGGACCAAAGCGCCTGAACCTGCAAACCTAGCAAGGATGGAAGGAGGAAGATGGACAGTTGACCTTATCAGACTGCCTCCTGCATCCCTCCCCAAAACCTCTGGGCGTTTTCTCCCAGGACCCTCAGAGACATCTGGTGAGTTCCTATGGAGTGGAGATAGGGACACAGAAGGATCGATAGATGGATGGTGAAGAGGAAAACCTTCTCCCAGGCTTTTGAATGTTAGGTGCTATTTCCACTGCAGGACTGCTGGCTAGTTGCTAATCTCTCCTTCTTGGGTATGGTTCCTGACCATGTGGTTGCAGACCAAATCCATGTGGTCTTGGAGGAAGCTGATTTTCCAGATCCATTTTAATTGGATTTGGCACAGAAACTGCTTTGGTTGCCCTGTAGGATGACCTCTGTTGGGACAGAGACAGCAGAAATGGGCCCCTACTAATTCTCCTTTGACCTCTCAGCGGCTTTCGATTCCATCTACCATGGTATCTTTCTGGAGCAGCTGTTTGCGCTAGGGGGTGGGTGACACCGTTTTGTGGTGGTTCCCATTTTACTTGGATGGGTGTTTCCAGAGGGTGTTGCTTGGAGAGTATTCTTCTGCCCTGTGGAGCCTTCAATGTGTGGATCCTTCAGGGTTCAATTCTATCCCCTATGCTGTTTAACTTCTACATGATCCCACTAAGTGGGGTTATCTAGAGGTTTGGAGTACGTTGCAAGCAATATGCTGATGACACTCAGCTCTATTTCTCCTTTTATATCTACAGGTGAAGCAGTAGGTGTGCTAGACCATTTGTCCTGCCTTGGTAATGGACTAGATGAGAGCCAACAAACAAGCTCAATCCAGATAAGACTGAGGCCCAGTTTATGCGTGGTTCCTTAGACCAGATGGCTAGGAGGTTGCCTGCTCTTGATGGGGTTACACTCCCTCTGAAAGAGTGGGTATGTTGCTTGGGGGGACTTCTGCATCCATTGCTGTCCTTTGAGTGGCATGGAGTGCATTCCATCAGCTTCAATTGGTCGCCCAGCTGCAAGAAAGAGAAATGGGAGGTACCGTATTTTTTTGCTCTATAAGACTCACTTTTTCCCTCCTAAAAAGTAAGGGGAAATGTGTGTGCGTCTTATGGAGCGAATGCAGGCTGCGCAGCTATCCCAGAAGCCAGAACAGCAAGAGGGATTGCTGCTTTCACTGCGCAGTGATCCCTCTTGCTGTTCTGGCTTCTGAGATTCAGAATATTTTTTTCTTGTTTTCCTCCTCCATAAACTAGGTGCGTCTTGTGGTCTGGTGCGTCTTATAGACCAAAAAATACGGTATATAAAGAAGCAGTTGTGGCTTCATAAGGAGCTTTCAGATGAGCTGAAATTAAAGACATGCGGGCATTAGAAATGGAAGAAACAAGAAGATAAATTAAGAGTTGTGGGGAAAGAAGACAATAGGGCAGATAGATAGTCAAAGCTGGGGGGAAAGATGGGAGAAACATACATTGAAAATGTTGTCTTTAAGAATAAAATAAAATTATTATAAATTAATTTGAGATGGCATTTAACACTAGTCAGATTAAATCAAATAAGCAGTATTTGGTGTTATGTTGGAAGGGATGCCAGGAAATCGAGAATTGTGTTCAAATGTGGTGGGGGTGTAAATATGTACAATTTTAAAGGCAAAGGGTGTTTAAGGAGATAACAGAAATCACTGGGTTAAAGCTGACCGAAAGTCCAGAGGTAGCATTATTATCAAATTACAATGGGGTGGAAGGTTCTCAGGGCCTTAGTAGACCACAAGCTTAACATGATCAAGGGTCTGGAAACCAAGCTTTATGAGGAATGGCTGAGGCAGCTGGGTATGCTTAGCCTGTATAAAAGGAGACTGAGAAGAGATATGCCATCTTTAGGTATCTATGTTCAGATATCTAAAGTGCTGCCACATAAAGATGGAGCAAGCTTGTTTTCTTCCATCTCTAGAGGGTAGGACCTGAACCAATGGATTTAAATTACAAGACCTGACATTACTATAATTTGACATTGTTTTAGCTGCATTCCTAAAAAACTGAAACATGAAAAGGAAAAGAGATATTGAAATAAGATATTATCAAAAATATATAAGTTACTTTTGGAATGGCATGTCCAGCATGAAGAGGTTTAATCAGGTATGATACATTGGGCAAAAGATATCGGTCATAATACACAGTTTGAGGATTGGGAAAAATTATGGAAAGAAGGCATAAACTTTACAGCCTGCAGTTCGCTTAAAGAAAATGTAATGAAAATTATTTATAGTCGTTCAGTCGGAAAGGACACCTTACTACACACCAGCGAACTCACACAGGGGAGAAACCCTTTAAATGTACTGATTGTGGAAAGACATTTGCTGATTCTGGAAGCCATGCACAACATCAACGAATTCACACAGGGGAAAAACCATTTAAATGCATGGAGTTTGGAAAGTGTTTCAGACTAGGTGGAAGCCTTACACAGCATCTACGAATTCACACAGGGGAGAAACCTTTTAACTGTACCGAATGTGGAAAGACATTTGTTAATTCAGGAAGCTATATGAAACCTCAACAGATTCACACAGGGGAAAAACCGTTTAAATGCATGGAGTGCGAAAGGAGCTTCAGTCAGAGTGCAAGCCTTACTAGACATCTACAAACCCACACAGGGGAGAAACCATTTGAATGCATGGAGTGTGGAAAGTCGTTCAGTCAGAAAGGACACCTTACTACACACCAGCGAACTCACACAGGGGAGAAACCCTTTAAATGCATGGAGTGCGGAAAGTGTTTCAGCCAGACGACAATCCTTCATTCACACCAGTGAACTCACACGGTGGAAGCCATTACAATGTATAGAGTGTGGAAAGACATTAGCTGATGCTGTAAGCCATGCAAAACATCAACCAACTCACACGGGAGAAACCATTTGAATGCATGTTTTAAGTCGTTCAGCCAGAAAGAACACCTTACTACACACCAGCAAACTCACACATGGGGAAAATATTTTAAATGTTTGGAGTGCGGAAAGTGCTTCATTACTAATGGAGCACTTCGGAAATATCAGCAAATTCACATAGGGGGAAAACCACTTAAATGTATGGAATGTAGAAAGTGGTTCAGGTGGAATCATCAACTTACTTCACATCTGTGAATCACACAAGAGAAAACATTTAAATGTATGGAGTGTGGAAAGACTTTCACTGATAGTGGGATGTTTAGAAATCATCACCGAAGTCATACGGGGGGGGGGGGGGCTTTAAAATTGTATGGAGTGTGGGAAAAGATTTGGTCAGGGGTTAACACTTAGAAAACATCTAGCAGCCCACACAGAGGAGGAAAACCATGTGTGGAGTGTTTCTATCAGTTGCCTTTATTTTGCACCTATGAACTTACACAGAAAATAAAGCATTTAAATGCATGGAGTGTGGAAAGAGCTTCAGTGTGAGCAGGGCAATATGGGCCCGTGAACAAGAGGAGTGGAGTGGAATGACACAGTTAATTACTCCCGGTTGCAACGTTCAGAAGTGAATGTAACATCAATGAAGGAAGACCTGCTTGTCGAAATGATATATGGATTATTTAGCCCCAGGGGGAGGTAAGCTTTTAGTACCTTATTTTTTTCTGGCATATTGCATTCCCAGTTTTACTTGGTAACCCTCCCCCAGAAAGGCAACTGAACAAAGAAGCAAGCTGGAGAGATTTTGGCTGCCATTTTGATCTGATCATATCTGGACTGAGTGTGGATTTTGGGCAGTCATCCTTAGTGGGAAGATTGAAAGTTTTGGACTGAGTTATTAAGATTTGGCAGAAGACACCAGTTTGTGAATTTATTGAGGGGAATCCTGGATAGCTGCCAAGGGCAGATGATGTTCCTTTGGGATTTGAATATTATGACCCTTGAGAGCAGAAATGGAAAATGGACTAGTTGGATTTCAACAAGGATTTCACACAGAACTATAGAAGTGGAGGTTGAACAGACCAGTGGCTGTCAAAATAAGAATAAAAAGTAAAGGACAATGAAGTGGATTAACATCGGAGTGGTTTATTGAAGAATTATGAAATGCAACGTAACTTTAGTTGATCAGGACTCCATGCACCTCAAAGCATGAGAAGTCACCCTAAAAATATATATAATTCGGCATCTAAATTTGGTTTTTAATGATTTGTGTTAATTTGGAATGTTTTAATGTGGTTTTTATTGGTTATTAAAATGGAAAAATGAATAAATATTATTATTTAAAAAATGGGTCAGTGAAGATGATTGGTAAAGGCTTTGGGAGAGCTTAACTTTTATCTCCTCTCTACCTATCCTTATGGCACACAGCACATGATTGGCAATATCTGTCATTAAATTTTTTTTGGGGGGGGTAGATAAATTACACATCGAGGCACAAACAAGCCATTTGAATGGCAATGCCCAGCAACTTTTTTTGCCTCTTCTTGAACAGTGGATGATTTCCTGCGGCCCTCCCCCTGCTGCTGTAAGTGTCAGTGGGTCCTGACTGGTTGCCCAGGAAAGTATAAAGACAAGGAAAAGTTTCTTACAGTCCTTCCTCCCCCCGCCCCAAGCTTACAGAGAGAGGCCATAGAACCCAGCCTCTTGGATAATGGCGTTGTCCCAAGTGAATCGCCACCGCCCGTCTCTCCCACTTCCTCACTCATCATCGTCATCACCTCCTCTACGGGTGGTGCTAAGTGCCCTCTGTCTTTGAGCTCTTTGCTCTCCTACTTTTAAGGCTCGCCGGGTTCTGGGAGTTGGTGGGTCTGGAATGTTTTCTAGTGGCAACTGTTCAACCACCAGCTGCTCTGGCTCTCCCATGATTTCCCAACTTCCCCCCTCATCTGCCTCTGAGCTGTGACCTCCCTCAAACCTGTGCTATGCTGCCTTCCTCCCTCTGTCCCCTTCCCCTCAGTGTTACAGTCACAGCTTCTCTTAACATCCCTTCAAAACAGTTGTTATACTTCAATTTCAGTTAGAGAGGTGTTTCAGTTGAATAATACAACATAGCTTCCTTCCCTGATCAGTGCCTTGGTTCAGGAGCGAGGGGCAATTTTCCTCAGCCCCCCTTCTCTCTAAGCAATCCCACTCCTGAGGTAATTACAAAATGACGTAACAAACCCAGGGGATCCCCCCCCCCGCCTTGT